GCGTGTGCTGCTGAACCTGGGCGGCGTGGGCTCCGGGTGCTGCCGTTAGGGGCCCCCAGTCTATGCTCACCTGGTTGTGGGGGCTGAGGGATCAGGGTGCTCATTTTAGGGGTATCCTGGGCTTGGGGTCCATCAACCGGGCTTGAGCCTGACCCTCCCTGGGCAGGTGGGACCGTGGGGAGGGTCCCCAGCCCACCATCCTCCCCGGGGCAGGGCCGGGCCTCCCCCTTGGGCCCCGCTCACATTTCCTGCACGCAGTGGGCGGCGGTCAGCACGAACCGCGGGTGAGTCAAGGTGTCCCCGCAACACTGGCTGCCCGGGGTCTGCGGCAGCTGCAGTGACACCGTGCAGGGTCGCGAGTGGGGCTGCGCTTCCTGCCCGCCCACGATGTCGGCGGCCCGGGCTGCACCTGCGGGACACGGGGTGTTAAGAGCCCACAGTCTGCGGGGACAGCAGAGCCGCTGGGCCACCTCAACGCAGTCCCTGACTGCTCCGAGCCTACGTCTCCCCATCTGCATCATGGGCATCCCGTGGCACCGAGTCCCGGTGGGCTGGTGGGAAGCAGGGCTCCGCGCCTGGGGTGGGGGCACCAGGTCCTGGCGGTCAGCACGACTGTCGTCCCTGGGGGCCAGCTCCTAGTCCTGAAGGGTGGGGAGGTTTTTGAGAAGCAGAAAAAATAAATAAATAAAAATAGCCGACACATGGACCCATTTTGCAGAAGGACAAACTGAGGTATTGAAAATCCTCTTCAGGCGAGGACTGGAGGGGTCCCTCGCTCCCGCTCTCCCGGGACACCAGCCTCACTGACTCAATGACTTCATTTATTCGTGGGTACCCAGGAGTACTGAGCGCTCGCCGTGGGTCAGGGACTGTCCGGGGATTCGCTTATCATATTTAATCCTCACCACGCCTCCCTCCCAGGGAAACACCGGTTTCTGCTCATTTTCAAGGGTGGAAAACTGAGTCAAGCTGCCCAGGGCTACCCTTTTCTCTCACCCTCCCCTCCCTGGAGGCATTAGTCCCAAGCAGGGAAGGGAGTCCTGCCCTGGGCCTGCCTNGCTCCCCAGGTCCCCCCCCAACCTGTACAAGGAGGATGTCATTGAGGCTCTGCTCCGGGTCATAATTGTTCCCAAACAGGCGAGTGATGCTGAACCTCTGCTGGGTGGGCTCCGGGGTCTGCAGGTCGTGGCCCCCAGTCTCTGCTCACCTGGTTGTGGGGGCTGAGGGATCAGGGTGCTCATTTTAGGGGTATCCTGGACTTGGGGTCCATCAACCGGGCTTGAGCCTGACCCTCCCTGGGCAGGTGGGACCGTGGGGAGGGTCCCCAGCCCACCATCCTCCCCGGGGCAGGGCCGGGCCTCCCCCTTGGGCCCCGCTCACATTTCCTGCAGGCAGTGGGCGGCGGTCAGCACGAACCGCGGGGGAATCAAGGTGTCCCCGCAATAGTGGCTGCCCGGGGTCTGCGGCAGCTGCAGTGACACCGTGTAGGGCCGCGAGTGGGGCTGCTCTTCCTGCCCGCCCACGATGTCGGCGGCCCGGGCTGCACCTGCGGGACACGGGGTGTTAAGAGCCCACAGTCTGGGGGAGAGCTGCTGGGCCACCTCCACGCAGTCCCTGACTGCTCCGAGCCTACGTCTCCCCATCTGCATCATGGGCATCCCGTGGCACCGAGTCCCGGTGGGCTGGTGGGAAGCAGGGCTCCGCGCCTGGGGTGGGGGCACCAGGTTCTGGCGGTCAGCACGACTATCGTCCCTGGGGGCCGGCTCCTAGTCCCGAAGGGTGGGGAGGTTTTTGAGAAGCAGAAAAAAAAAAATAAATAAATAAAAATAGCTGACACATGGACCCACTTTGCAGAAGGACAAACTGAGGTATTGAAAATCCTCTTCAGGCGAGGACTGGAGGGGTCCCTCGCTCCTGCTCTCCCGGGACACCAGTGTCACTGACTCAGCGACTTCATTTATTCATGGTTACCCAGGAGTACTGAGCACTCGCCGTGGGTCAGGGACTGTCCCGGGGATTCGCTTATCATATTTAATGCTCACCAGTCCTCCCTCCCAGGGAAACACTGGTTTCTG